TGGTTCTAACTCTTATTAATATTCTGATACAATGTTCGAAAAAAACCTTTGAATTGATAATTCTGAGATTTACAAAACATTTATTTCAAATTAAGCCATTTTGGACATATAGGTATATGAAATTTTCTTGATTAATGTGAGAAATCACTTCTTAAAATCTTTTAGGTCGGAATCTATAGTCCAGTCTTAATCTCAAGCAATGTCTTAAGATGCTAATACGGCTCTCTGATTGGTTCATGCACTAGCTTAAGACCATCTTGAATCTTGAGCACCGTCTATGGATTCCGCCCTTAAAGTATATAACTGCCATCTTGTATATTTACAGAGCGAATCTTAAAAGCCTAATGTTTTATCATGGACATTGAATTATTGACTGCAACAGGAAAGAGATGTATAAGAGAAAGTGAAATATTTAAATATGGTAAAATATTGGTTCAACAATTAAGGTTCACTCTGTATATGTATATATATATATATATGAGAAAAAATATACATATATATATAAAATGGAAAGAAGAAACTTACATCAGCTTTCGATATAGTTTGTCCAAGTAAATTGTATCCACTGACAGCATAATATACCGATGGTACATCATCTAATTGAAATCCTGTTTCAAGGATATTTTTCAAACGTGCTCTATCAGCCACAGATAAATAAGAATTTGTTGATTGTGTGACTTCTGAGAACGCACAATTTGAACATAATGCTACCAATATCAATGGTAGCACAGCAACTAAAAATAGATATTGTTACATTCTTAGAAACAAAATTTATAACAAAATGTTTAAAAACATATATAACGTTTTTCATAAGATAGTGTCCTAAGTACACAGATGACTGTAACTGAATCGTAGAACATAAGTTATAGTTGTAGATTGACCAAAACTTTGAGTGCGTTCAACAGACTCATCTGTTGTGCAACTGTTTTATGATTGCCTGCTGAGATAGGATCATTCTTCTAAAAGTATAATCCAATACATCTAAAAGTATAATCCAATCAGTGCAAAGAAAACTTACAACAGTTGCAAAATAAACGTTCTGTATTCTGAACGCAGCCATTGTGCGTTGACCTATGACTACAACTCATGTTTCACGACTTAAGGGCCCTATTTCTGCAACTTTTAATAACTGTCGATATCGTTATGTGTTGCACAGTTTGTTTTACTATATAAAATATCTGCGCAACGACACTACAACAATATTGACATCGTTGTTAAGAGTTACAGAATAGGGCACAAGGAGGGCAGTTAGTTACTGCCATCCTTGTGCTGAGGCCCTAAAAGATAATTAGCAAGTTGCAATTCCGACGAAATTGGTGAAGTTAACCAGCTAATTTCTTAAGACTGCGGACTCTACAAACTCATTGTAAAACCTGTGTAATACATAGATAGATAGCTATTTTGATTCTGTTTATTTTTGATCTATCTATTTTAATTTAAATCAGTAAACTAGAGTCCGACCGAAATTTCGGTTTCGATCAGTTTCGGTAAAAAAATCAGGGTTTCGATTTGATTTCAGTTTCGGCCGAAATTAAGAGAAAATTTCGGTGGATAAACCGAAACTACAAGACAAGTTGCAATGCACTCGTGAACGTTCAAAAAACAACTGTTCGATTTTAATTATTAACTCATTGAGCTTTTATAAATTATTATAAATTATAAGCTTAAAACAATTTGAGTACAAATTTTAATGTGATCCCAATAATAACTGATTTGATTTCTTTAAAAGTTGAGGATGCAATATTATATTATTATAGTTAGATATTTTTTAATAAAAATTGGTTTTTTTAGATTCTTATTTTTTAAAGAGTACATAAATCGTCATGATTTCTGAAAATTATACGGTTTCTGTAAAATTAATCCAAAAATCATCGATTTCGGCTTAGGCCGAAAAAATGTGACTCCGTTAGCTTCTCTCTCTCTCTCTCTCTCTTTCTCCCTCCCTTCCCCCCTCCTTTTTTTAGTAAGATTTATTTAAGTTTCAGTTTCGTTTTCGGCCGAAATTGAATAACAACCGAATATTCGTTTACTGTCGGTCGGACTCTACAGTAAACACGTTTCCTTAGTTATACTTCCATATAAGGCAGCGTTTCGTTTCTCGCATGATGTGCATCATTTATCTTTGTTTAACATTCGGTGAATAACAAGTATAAATCTGTACATGCATGCGCGTTCAATTATATTCCAAAATATACTTTCCAAAAACCCGAAACAGTTTTTATCATATCTGGTAAAAAAGTGATCAAATATGACATCGAATAAAGATAATCATTGTCGGAATTGTTCTGAACGACTTAAGGAGCACATAATTCACTGCAACATATGTTGTTGAAACGAATTCGTACATAATAAATCGTTAAAATGTATGTTCGATCCGAACATACATACACATCTACACGCGACTCGAAAAATCAACCATATTGTGTCCAAGTACAAAATTCATACTTTTTTTCAACAGCGTAATTTCGACTTTAACATCATTAAAAGCAGATAAAGAACGAACACTAAAAGTCGCAAAAAGACATTCTCGCAATACTTACAGAGAACCATCATGAATTCTAAATTGTTACTCGTCAAACCGATTCGGCCGCCACGTTGAACTTCCGAACAAAATGGCCTTCTCTTATAAGTTCATAAGTTCATAACTCCTATACATAGAAGTCACAGGACGCGGCAACGTCGTCGCCACTGGTCGCCGCCCGCCCGCCACAATGCTTGCCGTAGTGTAGTGTGTCATGAGGGAATTAGAAAGGTGATGGATGCGCAGTAGTTGAAAGTAGGGATCTGTCAGCCAATCAAGTTTTGAGCTAATTTGCTGAGATGCACATGATTCGTTCACATTGTAAATAAGTTCAATTTTTGATTGGTCGAGATCTCAGATCATGTGACGGTACTCCGTCATTATGCGCGTTGGTTCACCCATGATGTAAAAATACAAAAGATTTGTTCGCATCACAAGCTCCAACATGTTCCAACATGCTCCTACCATAGCTCTTACTTACTCCAACGCGCTTGGGCTGCATTCGAAAACAACCGAGTGCCACCATGTATCATCTTATCCTTGTTTAACATTGGGAGAATAATAAGGATAAAATGACACACAAGGTACTCGGATGATGTTTCCGAACGCAACCTTGATAGGCCGCAATCAGACTACGCATTGAAGATTGAGGTTGAAGATTGAAGATTGAAATTTGATCAATAAGGGCAAAGAAATTTCAGCTCCTTTCGTTTTGATTGGTCAAATTTGAATTTTTCAATCTTCATTCTCAATCTTCAATGCGTAATCTGAGGCCGGAATCAGACTACGCATTGAATATTGAGATTGAAAATTGAAAGATTGAAATTTGACCAATCAAAACAATAGGAGCTAAAATTCCTTTGTCTTCACTGGTCAAATTTTAATCTTCAATTTTCAATGCATAGTCTGATTCCGGCCTGATTCCGGCCATAGAATGAGTAGGAACTAAAGTAGGAGCATGTTGGAGTTCGTTGGAGCTTGCGATGCGAACAAACCTAAGATGTAACTTTCCCGCGAATGCGCAATAGGAGTATGAATTTGGACCCAAATTTGATTAGCTGTTCTACCAGAAAAAAACCTGAGAGGGGACTATGCCGGCCTTTTTCCTGTTATGGTACGGTCCCATAATGCGAAATTGGCGCAATGAGGAATTGTCGGAACGCTCGTGATTGGTTTAGAAAAGACATATCGATGGAGTGCAATTGATGGAATGCTTGCAATTGGACAGACATCGTTCCGCCAATTCCGCATTGCGTATACGTTTCGCACCATGGGACCGCGCCATTACCGTCGAAATCGCCCGTACACTACCACCAATACCTCCATTTTCAGTTTGAGAACTACGTGGCTGCATTTTCTGACACCATCGATAAAATCGTATCTTCGAAAGTAGATGTGGTTCGTGTCTGTACGAAATCCTCAGAATAGAAGCATGCCGACTATTCAAAGGAGGGACAACCGCTCACTAAACGCTCAGTGACCTTTGTC